TTTGGAAGTATGGCCATTTTCACTATAATGATTCTTCCTACCCAGGAGCAAGGGATGTCTTTCCATTTTCTGTATCGTCGTCAATCTCTTCTTTTTTTTCAGAGTGCTGTAGTTTTCAGAGTAGAGGTCTTTGATTTCTTTTGTTAGGTTTATTCCTAGGCATTTCAGTTTTTTGGATGCTATTGTGAAAGCAAATGTTTGCCCCGTTTCTTTCTCAGTGAGTCTGTTTTTCATGTACAGAAAAGCTATTGATTTTTGTGTGTTAACCTTGTACCCCACTACTTTACTGAATTTGCTTATTAAGTCTAGAAGACTTTGATGGAGTTCTTGGGGTCTTCTATATAAAGTATCATGTCATCTGCAAATAATGACAGTTTGACTCCTTCCTTTCCTATCTTTATTGCTTTTATTTCTTTCTCTTGTCTAAACGCTGTGGCTAATGTTTCCAAAACTATATTGAACAGGAGTGGTAATAATGGACATCCTTGTCTTGTTCCTGATTTTAGTGTGAAAGATTTCAGTTTTTGACCATTTAGTATGATATTGGCTGTTGGTTTTTCACAGATGGCTTTCATCAGATTGAGGTAGAGACCACCTATTCCAATTTTCTGTAGGTTTTTTTTTTTTAACCATGAATGAGTGTTGGATTTTGTCAAATGCTTTTTCTGCACCTATTGAGATGATCATATGGTTTTTATCCTTGGCTCTATTAATATAGTGTATTACATTTATTGATTTGCATATGTTGAACTATCCCTGCATCCCTGAGATAAATCCTACTTGGTTATGGTGTATAATCTTCTTGATCTTCTTCTGCATTCTATTTGCCAGTATCTTATTAAGGATTTTTGCATCTATGTTCATTAGTGAAATTGGCCTATGGTTCTCTTTTTCAGTTCAGTCTTTCTCTGCTTTGGTGATCAAGGTGATGTTTGTTTCCAGGAATGAATTTGGGAGTATTTTTTCCCTTTCAATTTCATTGAAGAGTTTAAACAGTAGTAGCAATAGTTCCTCTCTAAATGTCTTGTAGAATTCAGCAATGAAGCCATCAGGGCCTGGGCTTTTCTTAGTTGGTTAAGTTTTTAATTACATTTTCAATTTCATTGATTGATATTGGGTTGTTTATAAATTTTAGGACATCTTCATTCAACTTTGGTAATTCATACAAATCTAGGAATCTGTCTATTTCTTCTTCTATATTTTCCATCTTATTGGTATGTAGGGTCTCAAAGTTGGTATTTTTGATCCTGTGGATTTCTGCTTGGTCTGTTGTAATTTCACCCTTTTCATTCCTAATTGCATGAATTTGGGCCATTTCTTTCCTTTTTTGATAAGGCTGACTTAGGGTTTGTCTATTTTGTGTATTCTTTCAAAGAACAAAGTCTTGACTTCATTGATTTATCATTCTTTTAGTCAGCATTGCATTGATTTCTGCCCCGATTTTTATAATTTCTTCTTTTGTATGAGCTTTGGGTTTGTCCTGCTGTTCTTTTTCTAGAAGCTTGAGATTCAGCATCAGGTTGTTTAATTGCACTCACTCCGTTTTCCTCATATGTGTATTCAATAGTGCTATGAATTTCTCTCATAAGACTGCTTTTATTGTGCCCCATAGATTCCAATGTGTGGTCTGTCATTGCCATTTAATTGTAGGAAATATTTGATTTCTTCTTTAAAATCCTCTGTGATCCACTGGTTATTTAGAAGTACATTGTTCACTTTTCATGTGTTTGTGACATTCTTGTGTTTTCTTTTGCTATTGATCTCTATTTCATCACACTATCATCTGATAATATACAGAGGATAACTTCAATTCTTTTGCACTTACTTAGACATGTTCTATGAACAAGTATGTAATTTATTTTGGAGAACAACCCATGTGCAGCTGAAAAGAATGTGTATTCTGATTTTGTGGGATGGAAAACTCTGTAAACATCTGTTAAGCTCATTTGTTCAAGTATTTGATTGAGTTCTAGTATTTTATTGTGTATTTTTTGTTTGGTTGGTCTATTTGTGACAGTGGGGTATTGAGGTTCCCCACTAGTATTGTATTAGTACTTATATGATTTTTCATGTCCATTAGTATTTGTTTTATATAATTGGGCACACTTGTGTTTGGTGCATATATATTATGATTGCCATCTCATCCTCTTGGATTGTTCCCTTTACAAGGATGTAGTGTCCTTCTTTAATCAGTGTTGGTTTGAAATCCATTTGATCTGCAAAGAGGATAGCTACTTCTGCTTCTTTTGGGGGAGTTCCTGTCTTATGGAGTATTGTTTTCCACCCTTTAATGTTCAGTCTATGAGTTTTTTTTTAAATTAAGTGTGTTTCTTGTATGCAGCACATTGTTGGATCTTGCTTCTTGACCCATTCTGCCAGCCTATTTCCTTTGATTGGTAAATCGAGACCATTAACATTGATGGTTATAACTGATATGTATTGACTCATCCTTGTCATGACATTTTGTTTTTGTTGGATTTTCCCCCTTTGCATTCAATTTTTTGTCATTCCTGATGGATTCATTCTGCTGGGCTTCCTGGGTTATGATCCTCAATGTCTTTTCCTAGGATATTGTTTAAAATATTTTGGAGTGTTGGTTTGGTATTATTGAAGTTCCTAAGGTGCTCTTTGTCATGAAAATATCTTATTGCTCCATTAATTTTGAAAGACAGTTTTGCAGGGTACATCAATCTGGGCTGGAGGCTGTTTTCGTTTAGGGCTTGTAATATGTCACTCCAAGCTCTTCTTGCCTTTAGGGTTTGTGTTGAGAAGCCTGCTGTGAAGCCGATGGGCTTTCCTTTGTATGCGATTTGTTTCTTTGCTCTTACTGCTTGTAGAATTTTGTTCTTCTGTTGGGTTTCTGGAATCTCAACTATTCTATGCTTATGTGTAGATTGGTTTTTGATCATGGCTAGTTGGAATCATATATGCCTCACTTATCTGTACATCAAGCTCTTTTCCCTTACTTGGGAAATTTTCTGCCATTACTTCTCTGAACAGATTTTTAAATGTGGTCTGCACTCTTTCCTGTTTCTTTACTGAATCCAATCAGTCTTATGTTATTCTTCTTTGAATTGTCTAGCTTCTTTGAATCTATGTAGTTAGATTGATTTCTCATGGTCCCTTACTATTTTTAAGAAATTTTTCTCTTCCTGGACACTAATTGAAATCCTATCTTCAACATCTGAAATTCTCTTTGCATTGGCTTCTTCGGCTGTGTAAACTTTCAATGGAGTTTTTAATATCTTGGAAATCTGTTTGCATCTCTTTTATGGATTCCATTTTTTTCCTATGTTGGGATTCCATCATGTTTCTCAGCTCTTCTATTTTTTTAATCTGTCTGCTCTAGATTTATTAATCATGCCTTGTACTATGGGCACAATCTCTGCTGTTATCTGAGAAATTATTTGTAACTTCATTTTTTCCAGGTCCTCTTTCCTTGCCAGTTCAGGGATTCCAGGTTGTTCAGTATTGGATTGTTCCATCTCATGTACCTTTGATGTTGCCTTAGGTGATCTGGAAGTCTGGTTTTGAGACTTGTTTATGTGTCTTCTCATTTCAACAGATGCAGCCTGCTGTGCCACTGCAGTTGTGGTGATACTTAGACTGACAAGCAGGGGTGCTATTTTTAGGTCTCTACATTGTTGGATTGGGGCTCTGATGGTGACAGGCTCTGATTTCAGGTTTCTGGTTGTTTCATCACCAGGTGATGCCTCTAGTTTCCTAGGGCAATATCTATCTTTGGGCTGAGGTATGTTAGGGTGCAAGTGCTAGTCCAGTTATTGGGGAGGCAATAAATAGGTGGATGGCCCAAAAATCCAGAAAGTGCCTTGGTTGGGTAAGCAGAATTGCTTATTGATGCTAAAGAGAGGTGAAAGTTTCTTCTTTTTATTCTCCAGATGCTCAGAATGCCTGACATGATAGCTCCCTTTAGAGGCTGAAGGGGTCCCTGATGGGAGATGTCACTGGCATTTACTGTTCTGTTCTCCCATTGGAAAAATAATCTTTTGGTATCTATTAGAAGACATTGTGAGCAGCAGTTAAAGGTAGGTGAGAGATGGCAGTCTGATCTAGTTGGAGATTGGTTACAGGGGGTCCATGGAGGTATTGCCATGCATGGAAAGTGGTGGCCATTACTGAAACCTGACTCTTTGTTAAGCAATGATGTGGTTACAACTTTTAAAGGGCAGAAAAGTAGTCAGGCTGAATGGGGCATCTCGAGCAATCTGGTAATTGATATGGTTGGCTGGGGCCAGTATTTATAATGTATAGTTACATTATTGGGGAAATAATGTTCTACTGGTATACCAGAGGATAGCTTACACTAAATGAAGATGGGAGCTTGGAAGGTCAGACTAGCATCAGTGGTTATGAGGCCATGTCTGGGCTTTGTTGAGCTTTTGTATTCAGAGAGATTAGTGATATAAGATTGACTGAGTCAGGCCACATGTATCTTTTTATTTTTCATTTCATTAATGGGGAAATCAAGTAAGGACCCCTTTTGTTTAAGAGTTGGAATGGGCATTTTATTTCACATTGAGGATGGTATGTAAGGTTGGTTAGGACACAGACCTGGGGAGGGACTGGAGTGGCTCAAGACATGGAGATACAAAGCCAGCAATTTTTGGCTAAGGAAGGATCACATTGTTTCAGCAAGAAATGAGTTAACTGCAGGTTCCTATGGAGATAATTAGGAACTGCTGGGAGAAGTGAAGAAGGTGCAGCCCTTAAGTGCAGGGAAGGGAACAGGAGGGCCAGCTAGTGAGGAAGAAAAGAACCTAGTTAGGGTGAGGGAAAAATGTAAGCATAATAAATTATTCCATCCCTGAGGTAAAAGACAATTGAATTGAAGCCATGACGGAATCATAAGTAAAAGCCACAGGAAAGCAGATAGTAGGAGTACAGGATGTTTAATTAAGGACCTCTCTATTAATAATTAAACAGGAGGGCAACAAGGATGGAAAACAATTCAATTTCCTCTGGGGAAAAGTCACATAGAGTTCCCTGAAAAAGGTCACCTTCAATCAAAATAAGGTAGGATTTGAGGCTACAGGTTTGAGGGTGAAACCAAGTAAGATTAAAGCAGATGGAATGAAGGGAGTGAAGTGGTGAAATATATAGAGGTAAGCCATTTAAATGTCTTCTAGAATTTGGGTCAGCCTGAGGGAAGTACGGGAGGGATTCTTGTAGACAGGCATTGGGATGCTGTAGATGACCAGGAAGGATCTTGTCCACTTGGGCTGCGGGGACTGGGGGTTTAGATCTTTAACTAAGAAAAATTTGTTAGCCTGGCTATCTTCATAAGGCTGGGTGTCAGAAGTCAAGAGGTCAGCAGCATGTCAGATCTCTTCAGGCTTGTTGTAGAACTGGGTGATACTCTCTAATGGAGCTGGTCTCTGGCCTGAAGCTTGGTCTGGACAGAAATGTTCAACCACATAAAAGCTCAAAGGGACTATATCCTGTGGGCTTCCAGAGGGGGTGGCTTGGATATGAAGGAGAGCAATAAGGAGCAGGGAAACCCAGTCCTTATGTAGCTGGAGTGTGAGTTTAGTGAAGTGGGTCTTGAAGAGGCTGTTAGTCCTTTCTTCCTTTCTGGATAATTGAAGGTGGTAGGGGGTGTAGAGGCTTCACTGGACACCAAGCAACTTGGATACCTTCTGGGTAATTTGACTAATGAAAGCTGGGTCATTGTCTGAATGAAGGTAGGAAGACCAAACTGGAGGATAATTACAGCGAGGCAGGAGTTAATAATGGCCAAGGCCTTTTTTCAGCTATTGGGAAAGGCCTCTATCTACCTAGTGAAGTATTGACTCAAACCAGGCAGTGTCTCAGTTTCTGTACTCATGGCATATGGGTGAAATCAATTTGACAGTCCTGAATTGAGGAAAAGCCTCATGTTTGATGTGTAGAAAAAGGAGGGGACTTCAGGAAGCTCTGAGTTGTGGGCATGGCAAACAGAGCATTGAGTGGTAGTTTTGAGTGAGGGCTTTCCAGGAAGGAAAGCAGAGGCTGAAGTAGTCCAGTTAGGGGTCTGTAAACTTGTGTGGAAATTATCATGAAAGGATAAAAGAATGGCATGGGCCTGTGAAGCGGGAAGGAGGAACTTTTCCTAACTGAAGAACCATCCATGTTTGGTGGGAAGAATCTCATATTGGTATTTGAAAGGGGAATAGGCTGGGGAGAAGATGGAAAGGGCATAATATTGACCCTTGGGGGTGTGAAGGGGCAGATTGGCCGCCTCCTTTGTGGTTTTGTCTGCAAAGGTATTTCCAGCAGCTATGGGATCTGTCTTTGGTGTCCTTTGCAGCGAAGTACAGCTGCCCAGTTTGGCAAGAGGGCAGCCTGGAGAAGGGCTTTAATGAAGCATTAATGATTAAAGATCCTCGGGAAGTAAGAAATCCTTTCTGCCCAGATGGTAATGTGATTTTGTAATATATGGAAGGTGTACTTGGAGACTACAGAGATGTTAATTTGTAAGCCCTTAGCTAGTGTGAGAGCATGGGTCAGAGTAATTAGTTCAGCCTTTTGAGAGATAGTGGACAAAGGGAGAGTCTCAGCTTTTATGATAGGATCATGGGAGATGATAGTGTATTTGACCCTGGTAGGCTTGTATGAACCAGGTGTGGTTAGAGTTGGGAAGGGAAGTGGAAATGTGAGGAAAAGAGGAGGACTACATGTAGTTATGTGGATCAGGCTTTTTAGAAAAAGGCAGTATACTGATAAAGTGACAAGCTGGGTTGAAGCTGGGGCCTAAGGCAATGGTAACTGTGGGAGTTTCCATGAAAAGCAAATAGAGCTGAAGGCAAGGGGCAGAGCGAAAGTGTGAGACTTGGGATGAAGACATTAGTCCTTGAGGGTTGTGGGAAAAACAAAGGGTGAGTGGGGCATGTCTAGTGATTTTGAGTGTTTTTAGGAGTAACAGGGCTGCTGTAGCAGCTGCCCATTGGCATGGTAGCTAACCCATGATGGTGGCATTAAGATTTTTTGACCGGAATGTTAATGGACATGGCCTGGGACCCTGTGTCAGAATGCCTGCTGCATAGTCCCTGTGTTTTACTGTGTAAAGACTGAAAGGTTGGGTGAGGTTTAGAAGGCCCAGTGAGGGGGCTGTCTGTAGGGACTCTTAAGGATTGAAAAGATGAGGAAAGGTTTTGTGATCTAAAGCTCAACAGGGTCTCCCTTTGTTAGTCTGTAGAGGGGTTTAGTGTACAAAGCCAGGAAACCAGAAATGGAATTATCCTATTATGTCAAAAAAGGAAAGGAGCTATTGTTTGGTGGTGCAAATTGGGATCTGAGAGATCAAGTGGACAAGGTCTCGGAGCAGGCCTCAAGGATTGTAGAGGAATCAGAGGAACAGCACAGGGTGGGGAGGCTGTGGAGTGTAAAGAATGCCTGAACATAGGTTACCTCAGACCATTTGCCCATTTTCAGTAATAAATCTAAGTCCTGCAAGATGAAAAAATCAAATGTGCCGTTCGTTTTCAGGCCACTGAGTGTCATTTTCATTTATATTGTGGCCAGGCAGTATTACAAAACATATTAAGCATTTGGGCTTCAGATCAGGGTAGAGACAGAGAGGTTTCAAGTTTTGTAGTAGACAGCCTAGGCAAGAGGAAGTGGGAATAGAAGGAGGAAGATTCTCCATGGAGAACAAATAATAAGCGCAGCAACAAAGTCAATAGCAGACATCTCCAGCTAAGACACAGGGCTTTTTTAGGACATGGGTGAGTGGCCAAAGCAGACATCTCTGAAGTTAGCTAGCCACCAAGGGAGAACAGTTCTTCCTTGGAAGTGTTCTTGACTAGTGCTGGATTTAAGGGACGCAGAAAGTGGAATGACTCTTTCTTGGTGGGTATGGTGTTAAAGAAAGGGTGGATGAAGGGAAGTGGAAGGAGGGTGAGGGATGTGAGGCGGCCACAGTAGCAGAAGGGAGTGGGGTGTGGGAGCTGAGGAAGTGGATAAAGGGGAAGTGTCTCACCCATTTCTGAGGCAACTCGCACAGACTGTCTGATATGCAATCTGAGCCAAGTCTGAGGAATGGATGTCACCAAGTGGTCTCCTCAAGGCAAAAGTTCAAGATAGGATTGGAAGCCCTCCAGGGAGAGTTGCTGTACCCCTGGTCTTACCTTGGGTGAACAAACAAAGCTGTTTTATTCAGCACAGGAAAGTAGGTGGACTGGCTCTGAGCAGAACCACCATAGAATGGGGGGAAGAGCATAGACTTAAGTAGAGAAGTGATTTCTAGGCCTTGGTGAGAGGATTCATTGCGTTAAGGAGTCTGTGGGCAAAAATAGGGTGGGTCTATGCTCCTAAGATTAGTCAGTAGTACAAATGTTTCTTGGAGCTGAAGGCTGTGACATGATGATGGCCTTTGTCACTGGTGCTAAGTTTGTCTGTAATGGCTTATCCCAAAGGAGGCAGTTTCCTACCTGGCTAAGCTGGGGGAGGTAGTGGCCAGGTTATATCATGTCCTCTGGCATGATACTGACCAGATTACAGACACTGTACCATCCAAATTGCTCAAGGTTAGGACGTTGAATCCTTGATTTTCTGCCACTAAGCACTGGAGATTGACCCAGGGTTTTACACAGGGTAGGGAAGGGGTTACTAGTTTTTGTTAAAACATTCTGAAGTTTGAGTTGATATAACCATTTGTGGAAGTACACATCTCCTACAGTTGTTTCTCTTTCAAGTAGGTCATAGCAGCCATAGCAAGTTCACTTCTTTAAAGAAATTTACTGAAGCTTAGAAATTTAATCTGCGTAATTAACCCAGGGTCTTGACCCCCTTTAGGTATCTGATTTTCTTCTTTTTCCTCTTCTTTCATCACAAAGCTCTGTGACCTCAACTCTAGTGATTTGGCTGATATGTCATTGTCTAAAGGCATCAACGTATCATGTGACTATTCAGATGCAGGTTGAGAAAACAGCATTACACCGCTGTTCTAGCACTCATCACTGATTAGAGGACCAATTCTTTAAGCTTGAGGCAATTCAGCTGGTTGCACAGGGGTAGTTTCAGACGAGACTGGGCACGTTCAGGATGGTATAGCTATAGACCAGGGGTGGCTTCAACTGTAGCAATCTCTTCCTCCTTGCATAGTTCCTGAAGCTGGCTTAATCTTGTCCCTTATCATACTGCCACCCTCCATGCCTGTTTGGTCAAAAACGTTTAAAAGAGGAATATTACAGTGATTTTCTGCTCTACACAATTTCATCATCTATTTCCATTTATATGCATTTTAGAAAATTATTCCAGTGTTATGCTTTCCCTGACTCTAAAATGTCTCATTAAACACATAAATCTGATATTCACCTTTAAGAATTCCTACTTGATAGCTGTGCAATAACACATATAATTTTCTTTCCATGTTCCTAGCTTTCTAGACTGAGAGAGGGCAAGGCCTGGCATATAAGAAAAGCAAATACTGTTAATGTCAAGATGGTGGATACCTGTTATCTCAACACTCTGGGAGGTTGAGGAAGGAGGATCACAAATACGAGCCCAGCCTGTACAATTTAGTTTGAGACCCTACCTCAAAATGCAAAACTAAAAAAAGGGTTGGAGATGTAGCTCAGTGCAAAGGCCCTGAGTGTAATCTTCAGTAACCAAAAGAA